CCAAAAGATAAAAGTGATGTGGCATGAGAAAGTCAAACCCTTCTCTTGGGCTTGCTTTGGGCCGAGAACATGGAAGGAGGAAGGAAAAATTTGGGCTTTTTGCTCCTAAGCCCAATATTAGAGTTAGTCTTAGGTATTTATTGGCCTTATAAAATAAAATTGTGATTTTTATGTTTTAATAAGCTAGATTGGGTTAATCATGGATCAAAGCTTTCAATTTATTTCATTCTAGGCCCAATATGGCCCATAATATTGAAATAAATGAATGTGGGTCCAATTAGAGCCCAATTAGGGTTCTAAACCCATGATAGTCCAATTGGAAGCTTATTGGTCCATTTGGATCCAATAAGGAAGTTCTAGTCCAAAATGGACTTAACAAGAACTTCTAGGGTTTTCCAATTGCTTGATGTAGTGAATTGGGGTTTAGTTTTCCATTGAGTAAGCATCATACATGCTTTTGAGTTTTTGATTTCAACATTTACTTGAGTATAGTGATTACAAGACATAAAATTTCTAGTTGTGACATCATCCCCCCGTTAGAGGGAATTTCGTCCCGAAATTCTGTTTGAAAGCTAGATTTGAGAAAGCTAGAATAGGTGAGGGTACTTTTGCTTCATTTGGTCTTCGCGTTCCCAAGTGAATTCTGGCCCACGCTTTGCGTTCCACCGTACTTTCACGATCGGGATGCGACTCTGCTTAGTACGCTTCACCTCCCTGTCCATGATTTCGATTGGTTCTTCAACGAACAGGAGATTCTCATTGATTTTGATTTCGTCAAGGGGAATGACGAGTGTTTCATCTGAGAGACACTTCTTCAGATTAGAGACGTGAAACACGGGGTGTACACCGTTTAGCTCTGCGGGTAGTTGCAGTCTGTATGCTACTGGACCAATCCGAGCGACGATTTCGAAAGGTCCAATGTATCGCGGGTTCAGCTTTCCCCGTTTTCCGAAACGTATAACCCCTTTCCAGGGCGAGACTTTTAACAGTACTCGGTCACCGACCTGAAATTCTAAGGGCTTTCGCCGTTTGTCAGCGTAGCTCTTTTGTCGGTCACGCGATGCTTGCAATCGAGCTCTGATTTGAACGATCTTTTCCGTGGTTTCACGGATGATCTCCGGTCCCGTTAGTGTTTTGTCCGACGCATGCGTTCTTGCCAGCTGGGTGTCACCCACTTCAGCCCAACATAATGGTGATCTACATTTACGCCCGTACAGTGCTTCGAAAGGAGCCACCTTGATGCTCGAATGGTAACTATTGTTGTATGAGAACTCGATTAAGGGTAGGTGGGTATCCCAAGACTTTCCAAAGTCTATCACGCATGCGCGGAGCATATCTTCGAGCGTTTGGATGGTTCGCTCGCTTTGACCATCCGTTTGTGGATGATAAGCGGTGCTCATATCGAGGTTTGTTCCCATCGCCTTATGGAGTGATTGCCAAAATCGGGACGTGAACCTACTGTCCCTATCCGAGATGATAGATGTTGGTATTCCGTGGAGTCTCACGATCTCTCGAATGTATAAACGCGTCAATCTCTCCATCTTGTACGATTCTTTAATTGGCAGGAAATGGGCAGATTTCGTTAGTCGGTCGATTATTACCCATATGGTGTCTAATCCATCCGACGTTTTGGGTAGCTTGGTCACGAAATCCATAGAAATCCCTCCCATTTCCACTCAGGGATTGCCGGTTGCTGTAACAATCCTGAGGGTTTTTGGTATTCCACTTTTACCTTGGCGCACGTAAGGCACTTACTGACGTAGGTCGCGATTTCCGCCTTCATGTTAGGCCACCAATAGTGTTGTTTAATATCCAAATACATCTTATCAGAACCGGGATGAATGGAGTATCGCGTCTTGTGGGCTTCCTTCATGACAACATCTCTAAACCCTCCAAATTTAGGGACCCAAATACGGTTCATGAAATAGTATACTCCATTCTCCTTTGCCTCCAGGTTCTTTTCCATTCCGCGCAATACTTCGCTTGCTCTATTTTCCGTCTTCATGGCCTCTGACTGGGCTACTGCAATTTGAGTGGCCAGGTGTGATTGAATGGTTATCGAGAGAGTTTTCGTACAACGATTAGAGTACTCCTTCCGACTTAATGCATCAGCTACCACGTTGGCCTTGCCTGGGTGGTACTTAATCTCACACTCATAATCGTTTAGCAACTCAACCCATCTTCGTTGCCTCATGTTTAACTCCTTTTGGTTTAAGATGTGTTGGAGACTCTTGTGATCCGTGAAGATGGTGCACTTTGTACCGTAAAGGTAATGCCTCCAAATTTTTAGGGCAAAGACTACAGCTCCCAACTCTAGGTCATGGGTCGTGTAGTTTACTTCATGCGTCTTTAGCTGGCGGGATGCATAGGCTATCACTCTCCCACGTTGCATGAGAACGCAACCTAAACCCTGATTTGACGCGTCGCAGTAGACTACAAAGTCTTCCGTTCCTTCAGGCAGAGATAGTACAGGTGCGCTACAGAGAGCTTGTTTCAAGGTTCGAAACGCGATCTCTTGTTTGTCTGTCCATTTGAATGGTACGCCCTTTTGCGTAAGCGAGGTAAGTGGCTTGGCGATCTTAGAGAAGTTTTGAATGAACCTCCTATAGTAGCCTGCTAATCCCAAGAATTGACGAATTTCCGTGGGCGTTGTCGGGATTGCCCATCCTTCTACAGCTTTGACCTTAGAGGGATCCACATGGATTCCATCTTGGCTGACTACATGACCTAGGAAGTTCACGCTCCGCAGCCAGAACTCACACTTGGAGAGTTTGGCGTAAAGTTTTTCTGATCGTAGAGTTTCTAAGACTTGTCGGAGATGTTGGCCATGCTCTTCCTTGCTTCTAGAATAGACGAGGATGTCATCGATAAAAACAATGACAAAGTTGTCGAGGAACGGTCGGCAGATTCGATTCATTAGGTCCATAAATGCGGCAGGGGCATTCGTTAGACCGAAGGGCATTACGACAAATTCATAATGTCCGTAGCGAGTTCGGAAAGCGGTTTTTGGGATATCCTCTTCCCGGACTTTGAGTTGGTGGTATCCGGACCGTAAATCTATTTTAGAAAAACAACTAGCCCCTTGGAGCTGGTCAAATAGGTCATCGATTCGTGGGAGTGGGTAGCGGTTCTTGATTGTGAGTTTGTTTAACTCTCTGTAATCGATACACATTCTAAAAGATCCGTCTTTCTTTTTGACAAAGAGCACCGGAGCTCCCCATGGCGAGTAACTAGGTCGAATAAATCCCTTATCCAAAAGTTCGCTGAGTTGGCTGGATAATTCCTGCATCTCGGCAGGAGCCAACCGGTAGGGTGATTTAGCAAGAGGGGTTGCTCCTGGAATAAGGTCGATTCGAAATTCAACCTGTCTCTCTGGGGGTACTCCCAGGAGATCTTCAGGAAACACGTCCGGAAATTCACATACTACGGGAATGTCTCGAACGTTAATCTCCTCCTTGGTTTTGTCCACCACGTGAGCCAGGAACGCCAGATTGTTCCTTCGTAGATATTTTTGTGCCTTGACACACGAAACGAGGCGAAGGTTCATGCTAGATTTGTCTCCGTAAATTACTAGGGTTTCGTGATTTGGAAGGCGAAGACGGACGGCCTTCTCATGACACATAATTTCGGCATGGTGGGGGCTTAACCAGTCCATGCCGATGATCACATCGAAGCTCCTAATTGACACTGGCATTAGGTCTATTCGAAAAAACGTGTTGATTAAGAGTTAGGGTACATCCGGTGTAGATTTCCCCAGTGGATTCGGTTTTCCCATTGGCCATTTCCACCGTATAGGCTTCATTTAGCTTTTGGGGAAGTTGTTTTAATAAGTGCTTAAACTTATTGCTTACGAAACTTCGCTCCGCTCCGGTGTCAAATAAGATGCATGCATATGCGTGGTTTAAGAGAAACGTACCGGTAACAACAGAGGGGTCTTGAATAGCCTCACTCTGACCCATGGTCAACATCCTTCCTGTTCCTCCATTTCTTAAATTGTTGTTGTTGGGACAGTCTCGGCGGATGTGTCCAGTCTTCCCGCATCCGAAGCAGGTGTAGCTAGGCCCTGCGCTATTGCCGCTGGCATGGGCGTTGTTGTTGTTGCGAGGGTTGTTGTTGTTGATTCCCTGATTTTGGTTATGGGGAGGGTAAGCCTTGCAGTACTTTGCGGTGTGACCCCTTCGGTTGCAACTGGTGCACTGAAAATCCTTGCATTCTCCATAGTGATGGAAACCGCACTTGTTGCATTTGGGAAGATTACCGGAATAAGGTTTGGAAGCATTTGAAGTGGCTGAGGTTGGAGCATGTGGTGCGGCTGGAACCGATGTGGTAACAGCATTAACGCCACTGTCTGCTGCTTCTTAGAGGTGTCGGGCCCTGGCGCCCCTTCCTCTTATTGTTCTTTCCCCCTCTTGCCATCTCCTTCCTTCGTCTTCTCAGCCCCACTGGCTTCTCCCCTTTTTGTTGTTATGGTCGTACAACCTTTTTGCCAATCTCTTTGCACTGTCAAATGTTTCGGGTTTGCAGCTATCACATTCCCTTGAATTGGTGATGTAGGTCCCAGATGAATCGCTCAATCTTCTTTCCTTCCGAGGCGATCATACTCGGGCACAGCAGAGATAGTTCGCTAAATCTCGATATGTAGCATCATATTCGCGTTCTGCACAGTGAGGTTCCATAGCTCTTGTTCCATCTTCTGTATTTCACCTCGTGGGCAGTACTCTGCCATTACATTTCTTTCATCTTTGTCCACGGCAAGAGTTGGCTACAGGGAGTGTCATGGATTCTACATGTCCGTTCCACCAGGTGAGTGCTTGATCCACAAAAGTGCAGGCTGCGAACTTCACCTTCATGTGCTCAGGGCAGTCGCATATCTCGAATACCGACTCCACCTTTTCGATCCATCGCTTAAGA